GTAGTGCAGTCGCACGCCTGGGATCACGGACGCCTTCCCTGCATGAAAGCAACTGCGCAGCTGCACGAAGCTGCACAAATGACGCTGCTTTGCTGCACCCGCCTTTCCCGCAGCAGCAGCCTCTGATCACAGACGCCTTCCCTGCATGAGCGGAACTGTGATCGTGGCCATCTCCCCACCGGGGCGGGGGGTGGGGGAGATGGCTGCGACCTTGGTCGCCACCCAAAGCGGTGTTCGCGACCCAAGTAAAAAATTTTCAGAAAGTTTTGTTTGTGACCCGATTTGTTTGTGAGCCAAGGCGTTCGTGAGCCGAGGTGCCACTGTACATGTTGTGCAGAGAATGGAGCTGATGGGCGGGAGGTTCAGGAGAGGCTATAGGAAGAGCCTCCCCGCAGCACATGGCTGAACTACAGAATCCACTTCCGTGAGCTGTAGTGGCAGCTTTCACAGGGGATCAGACTAACGCATGGAGGCGGAGGCGGTGGCTTTCGGTGGCTATTCGTCCGAATGGTTCTATGCCGCCCCCCATGGCAGGGCACTAGTGGCCGAGAAACGGGGGCAGGAGGGCGCAGCTCCACTTTCCGTGGGCAGCTGGTTCGCCACTGCGTGGGCACAAGGCTGGCCTGGCTGGAGCCATCTGTTCCGGTGTGGCTCTTCCACGTGCTTCCCTTATCTAGAGGGCAACCTATTCCCCACACCTGCCCTGGGAGAGGCCTGTACCCCGCAAAGCCCTCCCCCATGCAGCTGCCTCAGAAGGACCAGGTTTCCATTGAGTAGGACATGCTGAGCCAGACATTTCTCCCATTCCAGATGTGACAGCCAATTGCCTTGTTGAGACCCATGGCAACTTTTGCATAATTTACAAGGGCATTTTGCAGCATAAATTTAAGAAGAGATTTAATTGCACCCAGTAAAGAATTCCTCTTGAGTAACTCTAGCAGGAACGCAGCAGTCACCAAGCACCCGCCTGCCTCTCTGCTCTCTTCTCCACGTCAGCAAAAGAAGAGTCCTTATGGCTTAGTCATGCTAATTTTTACTGAAAGCAGAAATTCCATCAATGCTTCTGTAGAGCATTTTTTCTCTGGAACCAGAATTCCATCAATCAGTTTAAGACCTCTGCAGTAACCAGCTACATGCAGGTTTTTTGAAGCATCTTTTTCTTTATGCAAAGTTAAGCTAAGCAAGTGAAAAAATGGACAAAATAGAATAGAAGTAGAGTTGAAAGGGGCCTATGTGTCATCAATTCCAAGCCTGGGGAGCCATGCGGCTGATGAGGCAGGCTAAAAATCAGATAAATAGATAAGACCAAGCCTTGTTCTGCTTTCATGTGTGATCACCCATCCAGCTGCAGGCCTATGCCTTTCCAAGCTGAGCAAACATACCTTGATATGCTAGCTCCATGTATACAGGTGAGCTGTACAGGTGAGACAGAAACTAATGTGATGCAGGAGCCAACACTGCAGCCATGGATCTGCAGCGTTCCACACAGTTCAGATCAGCAGGTTGGAGCAGCATTGCTGCAGAAGAGTGATTCGTTGATTAAACAAGTATGATTCATTGAGCAGGCCGATATATATCCCATGTTTGGTGCGAGTTGTGGAAGTGGCTTACAGATACAAGAACTGCCTGACTGAAACTTGAAAACCAAACCTGGACCATTTCAAACCCTGAACAACACTTCAACAGTTAGCCGGGTAAAGCTGCAATCCAAGAGTCTCCCAACATTGTCCGGGAGCAGCAGAGTTATTTGGGCTCCTGTATCCAAGATCCTGCAAACTCAGATCTGGGACTCCAAAGGTCAATCCTGCCCCACCCCCCACTTGCAACCAGCTGCCTCCCCTTGGGTCACAAAGGGGGAAAGGAGCCGGGCAATGCAGAGTGGGAGAGAGGAGGTGAGGGCAAAGGCTGACACCAGTTCATATCAGCAGCAGGATTTCTTTCCCCTCCCTCCAGGGTGTTCCACCCAGATAGCCAAAGCCAGCCATCAATAGGCATGGGAGCAGGGGCGATGGCCTCTGCCACATCTGATTTGGAGCACTGGCAGTGCTCCAGTTTTGGAAGTTCATGGGCTTCAAGGGCAGGAGAGAGAGGTTTGTACCCGGATTACCATCCGTATTCCAGCGTGGAGCTCCTGGATTCAGCTGCCTGTGCGGAGCCGTCCACTTGAGCTCCTAAAATACCCTTGCACTGCCTGCGCTTTTACATAAATCAATCAAACAAACAAACAGGCAGGTGCCTAAAGTACTGCGGAGGCCTTCAGCCATATGCCATCTTTCTTTCTTTGTATTTATTTTATTATAGACACATCCCAGCATTTTTTCCCTGCAAGGAACACAAGTGGTTTACAGGATCCTCCTGTCCATTTTATCTTCTCAACACTCCTGTGAGGTAGGTGAGTCTTGAGCTTCACCATTTTCAGTTTTAGGAAGAAAGGAGGGATTTAAATATAATTACAGTCCACCTGCCAAAATGCGATCCCAAAGCAGGATGCAAGCAATAAATACACTAAAATAATGCAAATTATTAAACAAATGGGATAAGACCACAAATAGTGTCTCAGTGGCTAACAAATTTATTTATTCTGGCAACCGCTTTCACAGGCACTGGCCGCTTTATCAGATGCATGAAGTGTTTCTCAGACTCAAATCACCCCTTCCCTGGAGGTGGGGGGAAGCTAATAAAATGCAGAAAGTACAGAGATGATTGCCTAACAATTCAAGATGCACTGCTTGTCCACAGCACAATCAGTGCAATAGTGAGCTGTTTAACATATATAAGTTGGTTAAAAAGACCCTTTGTCCTATTCAGACCACAGGGAATGTAGCTGGACTTCTTTGCAGTGCTTGGTGTCCTTGGAGGCTGAAATGGTTTCTGAACAGTGGCATTTTGTCTGCTTTGTGTTGATCCTTTTGCTGACCTTCTTACCAAAATATGTGACGTGTGGCTGAGATTCTGCACCAGAGGATTGGAGAATGGCCAGCGTGTCACCAAATTTTAAAAAGGGATCCGGAGAGTGACAGCTAGGGCCAGCTAGCTTAACATCTCTTCTGGGCACATTGGTTGAAAGCACAGAGAGGGACAAGCCCCGATGGGAAAGAGCCAGCATGGCTTCCACAAGTGTACAGTCTCCAGTCTCACTAACCTATTGCAGTTCTTTGAGAGCGTCGGTAAGCCCATGGGCAGGAGCGATCCCTTGGACTTCCCAAGGGCTTTTGACAAAGTCCCAAAGAGTAGGGATACATGGATTTTTTTTCCGGTGGATGGATGTAACAAATAGGCTCCCGCAGGTTCTGTATTAGAATAAGTGCTTTTCAATCTGTCCGTAAAAGATCTGGGAATCGGAGTAGGCACTGAAGTGGCCAAGCTGCTATGATGCCAAAGCATTCGAGGTGATTAAGACCAAGAGGCATTGTGAGGGGCTCCAAGGGGATCTCTCCAAGTTGAGAGAACGGCATCAAAAAGGCAGCGCAGTTCTGCAAGAAGCTGGTGTAAAGTAGCGGAGTAAGCTGGGGCAAAACATCCCAACTTCCAAGAATTCGCTGGTGTGCTCTGAGCTAGCAGTGGCCGAGCAAGGAAGGCATCTTGGGGTGCCGGTGGATAACGTGCTGCACAGGCTGGCTCCATGCCAGGCATGGTTAGGAACAGAATGCTGCCCTGCTAGGTGGGCAGGTGTTTTTAAGAGCCCAATACCCCTTATCTGCCAGGTGCAAAAAGAAGCCTGAGGCTGGAACTGAACTGAGTAGGACTGGTTTCCAAGTTGCAGAGGTACAGAACGGCTGCTATCCACACGCTGCAAGCCAGCTCAAAACACACAGACCGGGAGCAGTGGGGTTTCATTCTGCGTGAATGTGGACAGCACCAGGTTGTACCTAACTTGACAGTTGGAATGCATGATCAGGGCAGACAGATTCTTTTATTTATTAGATTTATCTATGAACTTTCCTCCAGCAAGCTCAAGGATAGATGATTCATCCCTTCCGCAGCCGCCCCGCCCCTCCCCGCTCCAGCTGAGAAGTGGGTTAGGCTGGGAGATGCAGCGCGCTGTTCCCAGGATAATCGGTGCCCCACTTTCTGGCCCTACGAACAACGCTGCGTTTTTTGCGTCGCCAACAAGGATTCTGAAATTGAACAGAAGGCAGCGGAGTGGAGCATTTTGCAAGTGTGCGTGCGTCGCTCTTGCTGCACTCCTGCTTTCCCGGCCCCCCCCCCCCCAGCAATTCCCTCGGAATGCGCCGCATGCACCTTGGACTTCCCTGAACACTTCACAGCGCTCCTTATCTGAGCCCCTAGGTCGTTAAGCCTTTGGACAGCATTAATCTGCAGGGTAATTTGGAATTTAAAAAAAAAAAAAATTGGCCGAGCTCCGAGCTGGTGGAACGGGTTGGGTGCCAACAGGCAGGCTTCCTGATATTGGCACTGAGGCAGCCGCGAAGCTTGCACGGTTGGGACGGGGGCCGTGGGGGCTCGCCATCGCCGCAGCGGGGCTAATAGGACGGAGGGGAGCGGTCCCTCCGCGGTGCCCGCGCCCCGTGCGTGCCCACGCTCGCGGCCCCGCGACACGCGGAGGCGGGCTGCGAACCGGCGCGCAGGAAGGATTCGGCAAGCAGTTCCAAGTTCCCTTTTCTGGAAACTTAAGGGGAGGGCGAGGGGGGAGGGCGGCTGCTTATACACGTGTACTTCGCTCCCGGGGCAATCCGGAGCGGGAACGGGGTAGCAGCACCGGCCCGACACGGAGCGCTGGGAGGGTCGCGGCAGGCAGGCAGGCGGACGAGCAGGTGCTGGCGGCCGGCCCGGCCAGGCAGGCAGCCAGCCGGGGAGGGGAGGGGAGGGGAGGGGAGGAACCGTCGGGGCCCCGACCTCCGCCGAAAGGAGGCGAGGCTGGTCAAAGTTCTCAGGCAGTCCCAGCGGGGGGACGCTAGAGGGCGACGGCCGCCCCGCAGGAGGGGCGGTATAAAAAGCGGGCCGCGGGCTGCTGCGGGCGGCAAACAGCCCGGGCGCAGGGCGAGCCGGAGCGCGTCGCGGAGCGGACGAGGGCCTCGCCAGGCTGCCAGCGCCCTGCCGTCGGCGGCGACCCGCCGGGAACCGAGGCGAGCCGAGCCGGGCCGGGCGCAGCCTCAGCCTGGATCCGGCCAGCCCCGCAACATGCGCGGCGGCCCGCTTTAGCTACCCCATGGAGCCGGGCAACTTCTACGAGGCGGACTCGCGCCCCCCGATGAGCAGCGCCCTCCACCCGCCGCCGCCGCAGCACCCGCACCCGCCCGCGCTCTCGCCCTCCGCGGCGCACCCGCCCCTGCCCGCCGGCCACCCGCAGCAGGCGGGCGCCTACGGCTACCTGGCGGCGTCGGAACAGCCCGACATCTGCGAGCACGAGAACTCCATAGACCTGAGCGCCTACATCGACCCGGGCGCCTTCAACGACGAGTTCCTGGCCGACCTCTTCCAGCACAGCAAGCAGCAGGAGCGCGCCGCCAAGGCCGGCCTAGACTGCGGCGCCGTCGGGGTGGCCATGCCGGGCGCCGGGTTCCCGCAGGGCGGCGGCGGCGGGCTGTACGGCTACGCCGACAAGCTGGACGGCAGCGCGGCGTACGAGCGCCTGGGCGCGGGGCCCTCACCGCTGCCGGGCTTGCGGCCGCTGCTGATCAAGCAGGAGCCCCCGGAGGACGACGAGGCGGCGGCGCTGGCCGCCCTCTACCCGCCGCCGCCGGCCCCCGGCGTTAACTGCAGTCACCTCCAGTACCAGGTGGCGCACTGCGCACAGACGACGGTGCACTTGCAGCCCGGCGGGCAGCCCACGCCGCCGCCCACGCCGGCCCCCAGCCCGCACCACGCGCTCCCGCACCACGCGCTCCCGCACCACCGCCTGCACGCCGCCCCCTCGGCGCCCCCGTCGGCGGCGGGCGGCAAGGCCAAGAAGGCGCTGGACAAGAGCAGCAGCGAGTACCGCGTGCGCCGCGAGCGCAACAACATTGCCGTGCGCAAGAGCCGCGACAAGGCCAAGCAGCGCAACGCCGAGACGCAGCAGAAGGTGCTGGAGCTGAGCAGCGACAACGAGCGGCTCCGCAAGCGCGTCGAGCAGCTCAGCCGCGAGCTCGAGACCCTGCGCGGCATCTTCCGCCAGCTGCCCGAGAGCTCGCTCGTCAAGGCCATGGGCAGCTGCGCCTGAGCGCCCCGACGGCCGGCTCGCTCCCTTCTGCCGGCCGGGGGCGCGCGAGGGGCCAGTCGCGGCTCCCGAGGGTGCGTGTGCCGCTGTGAGGCCGCCAAACTGCTTCTGGGGCTTCAGCTCCAAACCCAGCGCGGCCTCTCCGTGCCCTCGGCGGAGGGCCCCGGTTTCAGGGACCTTCCATCTGCTGCCGCGGCCATCCGAAGCTGTTTACTGGACGGGCACGTGGGGCTGCCGGTGGCTGCGGTCGCCCGCTTCGCCCCTTCCCGCAGCTCTCAGGGACTCTCGCAGGCTGCCGGGTGCACCCTCGGAGGACGCGCCGGTCGCCCGCCCCGCAGAACTGGAAGGGGCCGGAGACCACACGGACCCGGTGCATGGAGTGGACGGGGATGTTCTGGGGCTGGGAGGCACTGGGGCCGGGGGGAAGTGCAATGGCCCCGGAAAGGCCCCTCGCCACGGCTGCTGTTGGAAGAGCTGCCCCCTCCGCATGGCAGCGGCCAGAGGAGAGCGAAAGAGGGGCGTCCCTGGGCTGCCGCCTTGTTCACCCACTTGGACAGAAATTCCGGACTCAAAGGGAGATTGAGCTTCTGCAGGGAGCCAGGCCTGAAGTTCTGAGTGCTCTGAAGAGCGAGCAGCCCTAACCGAACCAGGTGAGGGCAAAGCCCCGACTGGAAGCACCAGTATCGGCTTGTGCCCCACTGGCAGCTTGGCTGTCATGGCCTTGTTCCCCTCCTGCCGCTCGGTGCCTTCTGTACTGTGAAAGCCGAGGGCTCCCCTCAGGCTCCACTCAGTGTCTTTTTATTATTAATATTATTATTATTTTCTATTTTATTGCTCGGACCCTTGCCGTCTCACCAGCAGTGTCACCGGGACCCTGTCCTACTGTGCCTTTTCTTGGCTGGTCACTTTGACTCGGAGGGTCACCCGGAATTGTCACAGTGAAACCCCTTAATGTGCGCTTGTGTAGGATGACCACCTGAGGGGCAGGCACAGAGCCGTCTCGCATGTCCCTGCCCTTGTGAGCACGCAGGCATGCGTGTCTGAGAGCCTGGTGCCTAGGCATTTTGGCCTTGCCAAGTTTCCATTCTTGGAAGAAAGCAGGCGGTTGTGCTGTGTTGCTCTTTGACCCCCACCCCAGCCGGCCATGCCAGTAAGCACTTTCAGCAAGCCGGTGCTTCTCTGGTTAAAAAGCAGCACTGAGTTTTTACCAAAGTGCCAATGTTGAATACTTATAAGTACCAGGTAGAAAAAAAATGTTTTTCTTCTTAAATATGGATGGCTGGAAAGTGTGTTTTTATATATAAAATGTTGTATATTTTATGTTGCATTTTTTGAAGCAAGCAAGAGATACCACGGAATGAAAGGTCCTGGTTTAAACTCCTAAATAAAATGCAAATATTCTGCCATAATCCCTTTTTTCCTATCCTGTTCCTGTGGAGCTTCTTAGTATTTTAACTGCAATCCTGCATGTGTGGAAATGAAGGTAAAGCTGTTTTGAGGCAGAGAGCTTCTGGTCAGCTGATTCTGGTCTCCTAGATGGATTTTTTTCCGGGGGAAAAAGGTTGGAAGAACCAGTGGGGAGATGTGGGAGGGTTACAGTTTGAAGACTGTTTTCTGCACCCCTGTGTGTGAGGCAGTGCCACTGCGCGGCGAAAACCTTGTTCAGAAGCACCCTCAGGTCCTCGTGTACTTCGGATCATGTTATGCCTGCAGCCCAATGGACGCTTTCCTCGGGGAAAGACCCCTGGTCTCCAGGGGGCCTTGCAGATGAGTAGACTCGCACAGGGTTGCACAGTTTCACGATCAATGCGTAAGCACACTTAGAGAAGTTCACTGAAGTGCCGACTTTCCGGGAGATTTCTTTCTGCATAGGATTGGGCTGAAAATGCACTTCTGGAAGGAAGGGAGTGTTTAATTGTGCGCCGCTGCTGCACAAGGCCCAGCTCTGATTAAAAGGTGTGCTTTTAATGAGTTTAATCTTCGCCTAATGAATTGAGCCAATTAATGTTTCAGGCCTAAGAGGGATCATCCTGAAATACATCTGGAGAGCCTTGCGAACAGCAAACTTGCAATCTCTTTCCATTCATCCCATGTTTTAAATATGGCTTACTAATTATAATGCTAAAAAATGTCATTGCCCACCCCACTTGCTGTGATCCTTGCAGGGCCAGTGCTTTTACCTTAAGGGTCTAAGCCAGCCTGGTGCAGTCCAGATGTGTTGGAGTGCAACTCCCAGAAGTCCCAACACATCTGGGGGGCACTAAATTGGGGGAGGCTGATGCGCACAAGCACGAGGCAAGGCCCATTTCCCTCTGGCTGTTTACTAGGCTTCAGCCACTTCTGAATTGTCTGCATGTTCCTAAAACTTTCTTGGTTCTTGATTTCTTGGCATGTTTGCTCAGAACTTTCCCAAACTCCCATTGCTTCTATGTATACGATGCCAACTTCCAACTTTAATCTCACTTGACTGCAGAAAGGACAGGCAACTTACTACTTGTTTGGTCGCCTATGGCGAGGCTGGCCTCCAGGCAACCAGGAATGTTACTCTGATAAAACTGGCCCCTTCTAGGCTATGAGGAACTTGGAGATCTGTGGAGAGGCAAGGCCAGCCAAGGCAAGGCCCTCGTGACATTGATTGACTGGGGCCAAAATGGCTAAGATGCGGAAGATCGGTGGCCAGATGTCTGGATGGTTTAGTCTTTATCTCCAAACAGCTGTGGAAGGTTTGGGTTAGATTGGAGCAGAGGGTGGAGCCAGGTTAGCATTCTTTCTCCTTGTGTCATTTCCCTGGTCTGAATCCTGCTCCCTGCCACCCAAAACTGCTATTAGACCAAAAACAATCTTGTTTCTCCGTGCTGGAGTAACAGCAGCTCAGGAAAACGGTTGCAGAAAGCAAGAGCAAAAAGCTCTGCCTGCTTCTGCAATCTATCCAGCACTCACTGCAGCACTGGGGTAAAAATGAGACCATATGGGAGACCGACACATAGGTTTTCCTGGCCTTCCCTGGTGAGGCTGGCTTACAGGGAAGGCTTCAGCGCAGAAAAGAAGGCTTTTCTGCATCCAAAGACGTGGGCCTGGCTGCTGTTTGAGTAACAGCAGCTCAGCCGGCTAGTTGTTTCCTCCGAACTTTGGCTTTGCCACCAGTTTTTGAGCAAAGGCATTGTGTGATGCTCCTCTTCGGGACATTTCTCCACTTCCATCTTCAGCCCTTTCTCCCTTGCAGAGTGCCTGTTTGGCCTCGCTAGCCCTTCGCTGCCCAAACACCTGTTCTACACTCCCCCTTTGGGTAGACTGGCGATTCCCTAAAGAAGGAGCCTTGAGAAATCAAGCCACTGTATTGGACAAGCCCCATTGGAAGGACAGGGGGTGGGGTAAGATGGCACCCAAACCCCCAGGGGGGGCAAGAAGCTGATCCCTGTTTTGACTAGGGGAAGGGGCTATGGGTGTCCTGTCTGCCATGTCAGGAGCTCTCTGCAAACAGATAGCAAGTTCGTTCTCTGAAGTCTGATCCTTGTTTCACCCAGGGGATAGCACCAAGAGGGAGGCACTAGCAGGTTGTGGGGGAACCCCAAGATTTGTAGAAGTTCAAATGGGGAGGGGGGAGAAAAGTGGTGGTGTGGAAAATGACCCCGTGCGGACCGAGGGCCGTGCCTGCCGGGAGTGTGGGGGTTGGATGGAATGGAGTACTGTGGCAAAGGGCGGCATGGGCAGATGGGGTCTCTGAAGAGAGGCAGGGCCTGCTTGCAGCGTGGCGGGGGGCGGGGGGGGAGTTGCTCTAGAGTAAGACCTGAAAGTGATGGAAAGCTGCAGAACTGGTGCTTGCGGCTGCCCAAATGGTATTTGCTTCCTTTGGGGAAAGCAAAGGAAAGGAAGGGGCTTTTCTTTGAAGCCCATTCAAACAAAAATATCCTTTCTGAGTTTAAATCCACCATAAAATCAAGCAGAAAAGTATTTGACATTTACAAACAAGAAAATAAACAACTGTATAAGGTTGCACACCATCCTAAAGTGTTATCAATCCCATGCATGAGAAATGTAAGCTTATCCTCTAATCTGCTTGGGTGTGACTCCTATTTCCTTGGTGGTTTAAAAAAGGTCCCTTTGTTAAGAAGACCATGTCCCAGATACCTTCATAACAGTGGGTTAAAAGCAGAACTTTGGGAGTCTTCCCATAGGAAGCAATAGAAATGTGACCAACTGTAGCCGATCCCTGAATGATATTCTTTAAATATGCCAAGAGAACTATTCTGGGACAGGATTTTGTAACCTGCCATTTCCTATTTCTTAAATGTTTGTTCTGGAAAGACTTAATAAAATGAGAAGGCCACAAATGCAGACTAAAAAGACAAGTGTGCTAATTGCTGAGAATTAAAGCTCAAATACTTAAGGTGAAAAGGTTGAAATAACTGAGAACTTCAAAGCTGCTTCCACATAAGGCATGGCTTTTTTTCTTTCTTTGTGATTCTTGCTTTCTCCTCACCCATTTTTTTTAAGTACAGGTGCCTTAAAATGCACCCTCTCTGGAACATGTGAAGTCGTGGGGAATGTGACCCACACCATGTGAGGAGTAGCTGTCCATGATGCTGTTTAACCACATCCCAACCCACAGCCATCTGGGGCTAGCGAGAGGAACTCGGAGGCCAAATGCACGGCATTTAGGCAGAAGTTCCACTTTTGCACGCATCACTAGTCAAGTTCTGGCCAGCCTAGCCGGTTTCCCTTTGCAAGTCCCACGGGTCCCTGCCCAGGGCCCTCGCTCCACAGGATATGACTGATGGGACCATCTGGGTTCAGCAGCAACTGCTGAGATGTCCCAGGAAACTCACAAGCAGAGTGTGAAGGGGTTTTCCTTGTTTGCACCACAGCGGGTACATCTTTGGTGGATGGAGTTTTCCTGTTGCTGTCTACACAGTGCTTCTGCTGGCGCCTGGGTGCTTGAGCCGTGGGGTTGGAGCACCCAGAATTCAGGGAACGCAGCCAGCGACGGAGTATCTGCAGCTCCACACTTCTGTGAGCAGAAATGCCACCTGTCCCTCCGTCCATTGGGCTGCCACCAAAGTGTCCTGCAGGCCTTTGGGGAGGAGGAGCAGAGAGAAGAACTGGAATGGATTGCGTGGGAAGTAGCAAAAGCAGGGCTGGGGGAGAGACACCTTAAGGGGCTGTGAAGCCAGAGGCATGGCAGTGGGAGGCAGGGGAGAGCTCAGCTGGGAAGTGAGAAACAGGCCGCTGCATGGAGTCATCACCAGGTGTCCTGATGTAGCAGGCTGGCCCTCTGTTTCGGAGAGCTGCAAGAGGACCCTCGCTGATTGAAGGGGTCCTGTCCTTAAGGCACAGCCCAGTCCAAGTCTGGTTAGGGACTGAGGACCACCAAGAGGCAGTGCATGTTCAGGCCTTTGATTCTCCATACACAACTGGCCCCTGGACATGAGGCTGAGCAAGTGCTGGTCACCCAGTCCATCTTCGCTGTGGTCTTGTATCACCAGCTGTGGTCATTCTTTTTAAATTACCCCTCCATCTCAATGTTCACGCACCAATGCTATGGAAAGCGGTGCTCGTTTTCTTTGCTTGCTTGCTCGCTTGCTTTTTTTTTTTTTTTGTGGGAGGAGGTGGCTGATGCACCAGTGGCCACCATAAGCCCAGAGGGGGTAAGTGGATAATAGAATCATGCTATTGGAAGGGTCCTAGAAGGCTGTTGGGTCCAGCCCCCTGTTCTAGGCAGGACTCAAGTCTCCCATCCAGATTCGAACCAGGCCTGACCCTGCTTAGCTTCCAAGACTGCAGCGGGATTATGAGTTCAGAGCCCCGTAGGAGAGGGGAACTTCATCCTGGTTGCCTAAGTTGGCAACCGACAGGGATGTTGGACCCACAGAGGCAGCAGAAATGAAGACGTGCAGACACGCCACAGCCACCAGCTCGCCCTGCAAAGGGCTCTGCAGAAGGGCCGGCGAGAGCGACGCACACATTTTCTGAGTGTGTCTCATCTGGCTGCGTGGTTCACGCTGAAGGTGGAGCGGGGCGGTCACAGCGGAGCAGCAACAGTCTGTCTGCTGATCTTTGCTCACTGTTTTCAGGGGGTGCGCACAGACTTCCGTCATTGCATCAAGCGGCCTCGAGAGCCTGCATGGAGGAGGAAGCTGCCCGCACAGAAAGCAAAAAACAGCACTCCAGTTCCTGGAGCCTGCTGGCGAAAACTGCCCAGGAAGTTCTGCAAAAGCACACACACAAAACCCCAGGCAGCTCCAGAGCGTGAGCTCGTGGCCGGGGCAGAGGCAGCTCTGGGGCAAGGCAGGCTTCCCATCCAATCCACGCGTCGCTACCTCGTTTCCATTTTGGAGCAGGTGCAGGGGGTTGACACAGGCCATAAAAGCCCCGCTATCCTGTGCTGGGGTCCGAGTCTCGATCTGGTTCC